CCCAAAAGACCATCAGAAAACACAGATATTCACATTACAATTTATAACAGTAGCAAAATTACAGTTATGGAGTAGCAAAAAAATAATTTTATGGTTGGGAGTCACCACATGAGAAACCATATTAAAGGGCTACAGCATTAGGAAGGTTGAGAACCACTGCTCTAGATTGTGTTATAGTCACAATAAAAACTAATTAGGACACATCCCATGTGGAGATATTGGGAAGGCCCTCAGAGGTGAGTGTTCACCTACTCAACCTCTACTGTACATCCTCTCTGCCTACCTTGACCTCTGTTGACATAATCTGGGCAGAATTAAACTATTTCTGGACCTTAGAGGATGCATAAAGGTAGCAACTGCCTTGATCTTTACCCAAGAAAGTCGATGTTTGGTTGTTTCTCTTTGTTCTACTTGAAAAGTAATAATTTTATATATTATATACATATAGATACAGAGTGAGGTTTCTATGACTGACTGGGCAACTTTGTCACACTTTCAATTTGTCTATATCCCTTAAGGGACTGGTCCTAACACCTCTAGTTAGATAACCAACTTGAAATACTGGGAAAGACTTCCCAGAGGAGGTGGCTTTTGAGCCAGCTCTTGAGAAACTAAATACAATTTTAATGACTGCTTTTATATCTCTGTTGGAGGCCAGAAGAGAGGAGAGAGAAAGGGCAATCCAAGCACCATGAAATAAGAAGAACAGAAGCATGAGGGTGGGTGAGAGCATTCTCGGGTGGACAAAGGGGACATGATTAATCCTTCAGTGATAGAAATCACAGAGCACAGCAAGTTTCATAAGGCTTTTGAGACCCTGTGCCAAATGAGATTACTTTGGGACACTGAAATTCTAACCATTGTATTATTCACAAATAATAGCTGAATAAAATAAAAACTCAGGTCAGTTTCACTATCTCAGTAATTGAAGTGGATCACTCCAATGCTATGATTTTCATGGACTGAGACTCTTGAATTGCTAAAATCATTTGAATGAGAACTTCTGACAACAGATATATATATTGAAATACACTTGTTAAACTACTCTGAAAAGCATTTTCCTATTTTTCATAAAGACCAGATTCATTGAGGAATATTGATCTAATGAGCACAAGGAAGAATCAGAAACTAGTCTCAGATAAAATTAATGGACAGACCTCTGACACATTTAGGGAACAGGGACAAAAAAGAAGGGAGGCCCTGCCATGTCTGAGCCCTAACTCCAAGCTCAGTCCATCCAGGTGGTGAATAAGATGTGGATTCCCTGAAGCTGCCAGATTTTTCCTATTACCAAGTCTTCCTAAGTGGCCAGAGATTCTCCATGAGCCTTGGGGCCTGAGAACCATGAAACCACCAGCAAGAACTGAGCAACTGTCTGCTGGAAACAGGCAGAGAATGAGAAAGGAGGACAGAATTCAGGCAATTCCTTCTCATTTTGCAGCTCTATCAGGTATAAATGGCAGAGAGATGAAGTAACTTTCCCTGTACAAACCCACTTCCATTCAGTTCTCATCCATTCCCACACCCTCAATCTATCCCAGGGGCTTCAATTCCTCTCCATCAACCAAGCAGACTTGTGTGCAGTGCATAAGAAACTTGTCAGGGGTGTATTTGCTGCCTGACATTTTCTACCAGACTGATAAAAAAAGAGTATCAAAATAAAAAAGCAAGTTTACAATAAAAAAGGATGGGAGCCATCCATCTTCTCTAGATGCTGCAGGTCTGTGAAGAACAAAGCTATTCTGACATTCAACTTCACTTTCAGTGACCTCCTCTCCTAAAATTAACCGTATGGAGGGCTTACCCAACACTAATTTTCCAACTTTTCTCAGTGCTCACCCAGCCATGCTCAGAAGGGAACGCAAGCCAGGATCAAGGCAGAGTGAGTGATCACCAACATCATTTGAATTAAAACTTTCTAATGTTGAACTGGCTGCAAGAGATACACCCTTTGATGGACATTGTACTTGAGCTCTTAAATTTTGTATTCCATGACCGGTGTGGTTAAAATCATTTTACTAACTCAGAAAGTGTGTATTAAGTACTGATTGTATCAGGCATTATTCACGGTGCTAGTGCTATGACAATGGGAGCAAGACTTCTTTTCTTCTAAACCTAAAACTTTAGTGGAGGAAATTATACAATAGCTAGGCAAGTAGATAGGTAATAGGTAGATGAAAGATAGGTAGATAGATAGATAGATAGATAGATAGATAGATAGATAGATAGATATAGACAGATAGAGAGATAGAGATGTAGCTAGAGTTTTCCTGCCTGGCCCACAGTCAGGACAAATCTCTCTCACCTGCCAGGCCCACAGCCGTCAGACCCGACCAAGTAAACACAGAGACTTATATTGGTTACAAACTGTATGGCCGTGGCAGGCTTCTTGCTAACTGTTCTTACAGCTTAAATTAATCCATTTCCATAAATCTATATCTTGCCACGTAGCTTGTGGCTTACCGGCATCTTCACATGCTGTTCGTCATCATGGCAGCTGGCAGTGTCTCTCTGACTCAGCCTTCCACTTTTCAGCTTTATTCTCCTCCTTGTCCCGCCTACACTTCCTGCCTAGCCAATGGCCAATCAGTGTTTTATTTATTGACTAATCAGCAACACATTTGCCATACAGAACATCTCACAGCATAGAGAGATGAAATAGATGGATGGATGGATAGTAAACTATAGTGTAATATGGAGAGAGAATAGAAGGTGGCAGTGAGAAATAGCTATTTCAAGTAAGATGCTCCTGGAAAATTCCCTTTTGCACAGATCACTGCAGGGGGCAAGGAGCAAGCCCTGCATCACTCTCAGGAGCCTCACAACAGAGATATTCATGCAAAGGCAGAGGGTGGGTGTGTTCAAAGTACATAGAAAACAGGGAGGGAGACAATGTGTGGGAACTCAGAAAGCAAGAGAAGTGGCAGAGACAAGGATGGATATGACAGAAGACTGTCCCTGGATTGCATTGGATATTGTAGACCACTGACAAACCCCAGCTTTGTCCTAAAGAGTGAAAAAGAACTACATAGTCATTATATTTGTGTTTTAAGCCAGTCAAGAATTCATTCTCAAAGGATCTCTTTAAATGTAGGCCCCTCCCTCTATCAAGTACTTCACTGTCCCTCAGAAAGCTGGCTCCATCAGTCCTTTACCTCCAGTATCAGGAGTGTTCCAAGTGAGTCCCTGACCATGCACTGCTCTCCCTCTGTGGTCCAGCAGAGGCACAAGATGCCTCATGTGCCACGTTTTGTTTGTTTCAGTTCATATATCATCCAAGAAGTAAGCTTTCATGAAACCAGTGTACATGTACACACCCAGTTCACTCAAAACCAAGCATGGAGTGATCTCATCTCACTGAAGGTTTTGTGGTAGGTCAGAGAAAGGAATGACATCAAAGAGCATGATGGTCAGTGTTGTCAACACCTAGGAAGCAGGCCTCTGAGCACACCAGTGAGGGATTGTCTAGGACACAGGTCTATATTACACTTAGCTAAGTGAAGAGGCCCACAAAGTTTTCCTAGTGAGATCCAGCAGAACTGCGTTAGAGGATTGCTTGACCATGTGTATGGTTGCTAGGTGATTGGAAGGATCTATACTTGGCTGAGCTGGGGGAGGTCTTTTGCTTCACACTTTGGCATTTCTATAATAGCCCTCTAGAAGAGACAGGAGGGACCCTCCCAATGCTATCCTGTGTTTCTATCTGTTTCTCTTCCCTCTCTCCTTCTATCTAATATCTGTTATCCCTCACTCCTCAAGAGTACTTTGTCATAAAATGTGCGAGCTGGGCTCCCAGCTGGGCTCCCACAAATGGCACCAGGAACAGGGACAGAGACTTTGCAAAAGGAGTGTTACAGGGCATTGTGGGTGTCAGGGGGCATGCCTAATAATGAATTAAAAATAAAGGTTATGGTATTTTATTCTCAGGATTGAAAGTAAGGTGGCTGAATGCCAAAGTTAAAAGTGAGGCTGCATCGAGTATCTCTCCCTATCTAGGTTTCTTTCTTTTTTTTTTCTCTCTCTCTCTCTCTCTTAATTTCTATCTATAAAAATTAGGGGGGGAAACATAATGTAGGAATATAGTATAAGAAAAAACTTAGGGTAATGTAGAATGTAGAAATATTGGGTAAGAAATAACTTAGGCAACAAGACAGAGGAGCTATGTCCTTGATTTTCCAACTATGGGACTATGAACTCCTGGGGAAGAATTGAAGTCATGAAAAATACCTTGAGGAAAACAGGCAGAGAAAAGATTCCTGTAGAAGCTTTTGGCCTGTGGATAGCTTAGCTTTAAGCCCTAAGTGTCAGGGGAAAAAAATTTCCCTGAGGTGTACAAAAATGAGACAAAACCCTACACTCCAGTGCCACTGGATGAAAACGCTTGCTGATAGCATCATATCATCAGAGTCAGTTTCCTCTTGAAAAAGCTGAGTTTAGGGAACAGAAGTCTTAGGGAAAGTCAGATTTTTTTCTTCTTACAAAGGCAAAATTAAACTTACCTGGAAAATCTATCAGACTGAGAAAAACACCTGTAATTTTCCTAGGAAAAAACAACAAAAAACCTCTTGGAATATGGCAAATCCTCTCTGCTAGTCCTGTCTCTCCTTTAAGCCATTATTAGAAAAACAGCAGCCAGAATCCCCTGCAGCCAGAGCCTATCCCTGAGAAAGTGTAGGCAGAAAGCCCAGCAGGGACAGCTTCATCCAGGGTGGAACTACAGCAGAGGTGGTATGTGACTCAGGGAGGGGCTGCTGGCATGAAGGCAGCAATGGAGGCTTTGAAATCCTCCCTGCAATGGGGGAGGCAGGGTCTAAGTTCCTAGATCAGGGACTCAAGCTCCTACCCACTGAACAGAAAGCACTTAGCAGAGGAACTGAGCTAAGGCATCAGTAACTCCTGCATCTTGGGGGAAGGGACAAGCAGGGACAAAGGAGATCTATCAGGGAAAAAATCTTTCTGAAAAGCTTTTATTTCAAGTACTTTCATTTTCTTTCACTGACCTGGTAAGGCAGGAAACAAGCGCCAATCTGTAAGTGTGTACATGGGCGAGTGCAGCTCACTCTGGGAAAAATATCAGGTGAAGGAAGTACACCTGTCAATGCCAGCTCAGGGAGAGCAGAATCCTCCCATGGTGAAAAAGCTCACTTGATCTTGATTTTCAGTATGAACACAAACTGTGAAAATGAAAAGGGGACTGTGGCAGACCCGAAAGGCAGCTTGGGAAATTTAGTTTGTAGTAGTGTGATGCTATAGCAAAAGTCAGCTTGGGAAATGTAGTTCATAAAAGTGAGGTGGCATAGACAAGAAGGCCTGGAGAAAAGGCAGATAGACTGGGACAAAAACTTTCAAATGCTGCCCAAAAAACTCTGCTTCTTCAGCTAAAAACATTGTTTTTTTTTCCAAGTGCTGCTAGCTTTACTTCCCAAGAGCAAGAAACAGGTAATATCTGTCAAAGGGCAAAGAAGATGCTAACGACACTTCTCAAGTCATTTTGAAACCCTTTGGAAAGCAAGGGAAAGCAATCCAAACACTGGAAAGTTGTTTTGGGTGTGGAAAAAACTTATGGGCAAATTAAAAACTTGGGTTGTACTTGAAATGCGAGAGAGAAACATTGGCATCATTAAAAGAGCTCATGGCAATCTTAAGATGCAGCTTCAAAAAATTAAGAAGGGGGAAAATGTACCCTCAGAAGCTTGCTGGCTGTCTGAGTTTGGTGAGGAGTGTGGAACAGAGGAACGTCAACTCCGATGACACTCCTCCAGAGACCTAATAGCTGTGCAGGAAGTTTTTCTAAGAGCTTTACAGCAGCTCACTATGGTAATTACTCATGATTTGTGAACTCTGTCTTCTTGGAAAAATAATATAAATATTTATTTTAAGAAATCTCTTCTAGATATGGGCTAAAGTTTGTAAAATGGTTCTATAGAGTTTCCTTTTGAATAAAGTTTGTAAAAAGTATAAATATGTATAGTGATATTCATGCTATTTGTAAATATGTCAAAAGTGTAAATACTGAATGGAAAAAGAGTAAATAATGAATGGAAAAAGTGTAAATGTTGAATGTAAGTTTGTGAGAATTGTATAGTAGTGATGTTCATACTAGAATAGTTTTTATTACTCTTTTACCTTCAGATATATTTGAACACATTTTATGATAGCTTAAAATATAATTTTATGTTCTCAATGGCCCCTGGAAAGCTTAAGTGAAGGTGTTATAATTAGGGGAGCTTTTCTGTCTTATTCCTAAAATTTTCCACTCCTCTGTTTCTGTTTAGAATATGAGCTACTTAAACAGCTAAAAGTGTCTTTATAATTAGCATGGGTTTTTGTTTACTTGAGTGGATACTTTGAAGTGTTTTGGAATGACTGTTTTCTCCTGGGAATCAAAATAGTCTCTTGAAAACTTTATTGAACATCTGCTAGGAGATAGTATTGATTTAGAAAAGGGCTTGGTGCAGCTAAGACTGCTGTAGTCATCTTAGACCTAATCCAAAAGGATATTCCATCTTTATTATCCTCTACTCCTTTACTGGGAGGAGTGGCAGCTATGGAGATCACTGTGGATATTTGCAAGCTCTATAGGGATCTGGATCAGAGCTCTGTACCCACTCCTGTCAGAGGCTGGTAGCCAAAGACGGGCAACTTTCTTAATAGCTTCCTAAATGCATGTATGTAAAATTAATCAAGATGAATGACCTAAGACAGGCACAGTATATGTGACAGGGGGTGGGGAGGGGGCTTTATTATATCAAGGAGGAATTGTGGAGGCCCACAAAAGTTTTCTAGTGAGATCTGAGCTTGCTTCACCCAGCAGAGCTGCATTAGAGGATTGCTTGACCATGTGCATTGTTACTAGGTGATTGGAAAGGTCTACACTTGACTGAGCTAGGGGGAGATCTTCTGCTCCACCCCTTGGCATCCCTATAAATAGCCCTCTAGAAGAGACAGGAGGGGCTGGTAGATATTGATCCAGGCCCTCCTGAGGCTATCCTGTGTTTCTATTTGTTTCTCTCACCTCTATTTTTCTATCTAATATCTCTTATCCCTCATTCCTCAAGAGTACTTTGTTGTAAAATGTGGGAGCTGGTCTCCCAGCTGGACTCCCGGAGCTAAGAATGTCTATGTGAGGTTGTCTTGATTAGGTTAATTGAGGAGAGAAGACTCGCCCACTGTGGATGGCACCATCCCCTAGGCAGGGATTCTGAACTGTGTAAGAGTGAGGAAAGCAAGGTGATTACCCATGCATACATTTGTTCATTCCTCTAGTGATATGGGTCTCAAGTTGGACCAGTCATTGGTTGGCAGCTCCCACAAGTTCTGTGCTACCTTTACCCCAGCATGTCTTGCAGGCAGGACTAATTATAGGTCAGTGGTTTGGGGGCTGTGTTGGTGTCACACAACTCCTCCACTGGAAGCCTTGCCTAATTACAGAAGATGGCCAGTTCAGGTTCCATATCCTCCATTACTAAGAGTCTTTGCTAGTGTTACTCTCATAGACTCCTGGGAGTTTCCATTGGACCAAATTTCTTCCTTGCCTCCAAAATGTCCCCAGTTCCAGGTCTCTTCCAGTACTCTCTCCCTCCACCTCCCCTACCTAATCCATCCTATTCCCATACCCACCTGCCCCAGTGTAACCACAAAATCTATTCTATTTCCCCTTCCCAGGGAGATCCATGCATCCCCTCTTAGGCCCTCCTTATAACCTGGTTATTTTAGCAAATGTGTATTGCACATGAGCTAAGTGCCAAGCACTATCATGCTTAGAAATACCTAAGATAAACCTTCAAAAAGAATATTTAGCTGTAAGTCTCCATATCCCTGGAAGGATATGGAGTGGTTTTTCCTACCAAAGGAAGACTAATAAATGTATAATAACATGACACCGAGTTATACACACATGAGGGAGATAAATCTGAATGAAATTTCACTAAGTAATTTGTACAACCCACTTAAATATCGTCATATAAAAGTTCGATGGAGCTAGAAAGAAATTCCTAAGCAACTCTAAAAGGCCATTCTAGGCAACACTTCTTTCCCCTCTTAGCGTCAAGACAATCTACACAACCCTTATGCCTTGTTCTTGAAGTCTTGAAGAGACTCACCAACAGCGGATCATTGATAACGAAGGAATTTCTTCTCATGCATGTGTGGATTTTTATAGTTAACTAAATATGTAAATGTCTTGGCATCTGAGACACCAGTTTAAAGGCCGTGAAGCACACATCTAAAGTCTATCCCTCAGGACTAAACCTGATGTGATTAGCAGTGTGGATGCTAAGTGTTCTCCACTGCCAGTGCTCTCAAAGGTAGCTAGTCTAACAAGGATTATGAGTATAGACATTTGGATCAGATCAAGGCCAGGGCAAGAATTTGAAGAAAAAGGTGACTGATGTCCCTTTGTATGGGCAAATGAAGGAGAGCCCTGTGTTTTTTATCAAGGGAATAGTATGGACCAACATGGAGGGTTAGCCTAAAGAAGCAGGAAGTGTGCTGTTATGATTGGTACACCAGGAAGTTGCGGCATGGACTGGAAGGTATTTGAGGGTTGTTCTGTTACAGTGCTTTATGTTGCAGTCATAAAACACTAACCATAACCAACTTGGAAGAAAGGGTTTATTTAGCTTCAGGCTACAGGCCACCGTGGAGGGAAGCCAAGGCAGGAATTGAAGCCAAGACCCTGGGGGAATGGGCTTGCTCAGCCTGCTTTCTTATATGACCTAGGACCACCTGCCTAAGGATGGTACCACCCACAGTGGGCTGGGCCATCCTACATCAATCAACAATGAAGAAATTGTCCCTCAGACATATCCACAGGCCAGTCTGAGGGAGACAATTCATCAGTTGACCTTCCCTTCTTCCCAGGTGTGTCTAAGTCTGGGTCAGGTGGACAAAAGCTAACTAGCATGTGGGTGCTACTGTTAGAATGAATATAGAGCTTCCTAAAATACTAACATTGAAATTTCACTGCTATTGTCACAGTGTGAAGAGATGAGACATTAGAGATGAGTAGTGCACTCAGGCTCTGCCCTCATAAGTGAGATTAATGTCAGTACAAGAGGAAAAATTCAGCTCCTTTCTCTCTGGGCTTTTTCACTTCCTGCCATTCAAGAATCCAGTATTCCTCCCCTTGGGAAGACATAACATTCAAGGAACCATTCAAGAGAAAGGGCTCCCTCACCAGATCCAACCTTCCCAACACCTTGACCTTCACATCCTCTGAGAACTCTGAACCTTCTCCTTTATTCTTTATAAATTACCCAGTCTTGTGTATTCTACTAGAGTAGCATACAACAGAATGAAATTGTCTATTAGAAAAGCATGAGTGTGCTTTGATCCCAAGATGTCTTTTCTAGAAACTACTATGAAGATTGTTGCTGTTTGCTGTGGGTGGAGGTATGCATGTGTGTAGGTATACATGTATGTTCACAAGTGCAGACGTACATTATGCGGTGTTTGCATATGTGTATATGTGTTTGTCAGGGGTGTGTGTATATGTATTTGTGTGTGTGTGTGTGTGTGTGTGTGTGTGTGTGTGTGTGTGTGTGTGTGTATGTGTGTGTGTGTGTAGACCAGAGGTTGACATAGGGTTATATCTTCCTCTATCACTCTACTTACTCACTGAGGCAGGGTCTCTCACTAAACCTGGAACTCACCAACTCACTTAGTCTAGCTCTAGACTGTTTGCTCCTGGGATTTCTGTCTCTGTCCCTCCAATGCTGGGTTTTCTAGACTGCCACGCCCACCCCACTTGTAGGTGTGCTGGAGATCTGAACTCTAGTCTCTCACACTTGTTTGGCAAGCACCTTATCCACTAAGTCATCTCCCAGCCTCCACAAACTCTGTTTATATCCACAAGAGAAGAGCCCTGAGAAGAGGCACCCTTCCTCAGACGCAGCCCTCACCATGCTCATCTCCCTACAGGAAGCTTGATACATGCAGGTGATATCCACTGTCAGAAATTTGGACATATTTTCCACATTGATCTTTGTCCTAAATGTTCAGTTTACCAGCATTGGGGCTGGACTTACACAAAGAAAATGAACTTAGGCTGTGGCCATAGGCAGGTGCTACACTCTGTGTGTATAAAGAACACTCAGTTGCCGGGGCCCAAGAGGCACAAGGTCATTACTCATATTCCCAGACCCTGTGATGCATGCCCTGACAGGAAG